TTAAAAATAAAATATATCCTCCATGATTTTACAAAGATAATACCACATTCACATTATACACATTACACACACTTTACAGAAAATGATTTCGTCGGTTATATTTTTTAAAAATAGCGTACTGAAATTTTCTATGTAAAAAAAAACCAACTTTATAGCACCAATTTTTTAAAGTCAATTAATCAAAGATAGATATAACTTGACACCAATTCAATTCACTACCGGCATACAAGTAAAATATATATAAATTAATAATATGTCATACAGTATTGTATTTTTAATTTAATTAAGAATTAGCTGGATATGTTTATATTATTTTAATATATTTGTGTTTATCATTGTGTTAAAATTCTAGTGTAATATTTTATTGAAACCCTGATATCATAATGAAGAATAGTTATTCCTTAGCATCGCTTTGCATAATTAACCCAGTTTAATTTATTAATACATCAACATCATCTTTATTCACTAGATAATGGGGCAACTGTAATGGAAGGTGGTAACAATTGGCCATTGCGTGGATTCAAGTTGTCCATGTTCGAGGGCGGTATGCGAGCTATCGGATTCGTTCACAGCCCTCTCCTTTCTGACAAAGTCAAGGGAACTGTGAGCAATGAACTGTATCACGTAAGTGATTGGTTCCCGACATTCGTCGAAGGTATCGCTGGATGGAACACAGACGGAACTAAACCACTAGATGGCTTCAACCAATGGGAATCTATAAGGTACAAGCATTTACAATATTTTCATCTGAGTTATATTCGGGTTGGAATAGAACTCTAAGATAGTGGTGAAATGCAATCCAATCCAAAGGAATGATAGATAAATCAAACACTTTTGGAAAAGCCAGTCAAAATTAGTTAATAATAGACATTAAGAAAGTATGGGTGTTTGATAATTACGCTTTGGAATATTGGTCAATGTGAGGTTGGCAGCCATGCATGTCTAAAAATTAGGTTTGCATGTATTCATTTTTTTAATGATTAGATTTAATGATATTGGTTAAAGATTTCGTACCATATTTCTATGAAATTGAAGTGAATTGCGCGTGAGTTTCTTTTTAAAATGGTACACAGTTTTCTCGTTAACATTGGGAACGTAACTATTATTAAATCACTTGCACTTTCAACAATTAATTTACAACACTAGCATTATTGAGATGCCTGAAACTATTGTTAAAAAATTAGAAAAACTAATTTTTAATTTCCTCTGGGATGGTAAATCTGAAAGAATAAAACGCAAGATACTTTATTTTAAACGAGGAGCATGGTGGTATAAAAATGCCTGATATACTTTTGCAGGTCCAATCACTGCATGCAAAGTGGTTCTTTAAATTAAATGATTCAAAACATGAAGGTGAATGGAAATTGATCCCAATATAATTATTATTTACAAAAACTATGCTCAATTTCCATTAGGTTGAATTGTTGTTGACATAGATAATAATATAGTGGTTTTATTACCATCTTTTTATAAAAATGTAGTTAAGTCAATGTCATTATACAATGGAAGTTTTTCTGTTGCACCTACCGTCGACTCGCAGTGAAATTTTGAAGCAGTGTTTGTGGGGTAACAATAATATTGTTATTAAAAACAAGTCACATGCATTTAAAACGTAGTTTGATTCGGGTATCAATTACATAGAAGATATCGTTACTGATTGTTTTCTAGCCGCCCCCCCCCCCTGCTGACGTCATACGTCGAAAGCTGAAGAAGACCAATAATTACGTCGGTGAATATTGCATGGTAATTAATGCATTACCTATAAATGGAAATGCACTATCTTAAATATAGAGCAACCAGATCAAGTAGATAATATCAAAATTAATAAAAACCTCAAAACCAAAGAAATATACACACATATTATAAAATTGAAAATATTGTATCCCGTTAAAAGTCAATTGAAATCTGTTTTGTATTTATTATATTCAAATCTTGTATAAAAAGGGTGAAAAAGAGTTATATATTGAAAAATGTTGTATATTAGATATTGTATTTACTGTTAAATTATATATTGATAAAAAAAATGGTATAATATAAAATATGCGTGTATGTGTGGGTGGGTGT